ATAGATCAGGGCTGAAATTATCTTCAGAATTTGAGACATGTTTCCTTGCTTTGGTCAAGCAGAACACAGGTCACATACCTCTAACAGACGTGAAACATGAGGGCAGCTAAGAGTGGTGTAAAGAAGTATCAGTAAAGGAGGAGAAGTTGAGATTTATGTCTTATGATATATGATATGATCACACGATATCTTATGAGATATGATTTACTTATTGAAGTAAAAATAGGAAAAAATTATTCTGGTTGCACTACCACAGAGAGAGAGAGAGAGAGAGAGTGTGTACGCGCACAGGCACAAAAAATTAACTTAGCATGTAATGTCCTAGATTTTCATATTCCAAACTTCCTGAGAAGCAACTACTACTTAGCAAACCAAAATACTAAATCTCATTAGAAAATACTACATGCCTAAAGCTACTACTGCTCTCACCACCACACCATCTGTCACTAAGATAGCACTGACTGCCCAGCCTCACAGGTAACTGCACTTATTGCATACCTTAAGAGAGAACGGATATGACTCATCTGAGCTAAATTCTTAACACTCGACGTGAAGGCTGGCAATTGCTGCAAAACTAGATTAAACAGGTCTGATAAGCAGGTCGGCTACTCCATGTAGCCGCTAATAGCTATGACTTCATTCTCATTCAATTCAGTCTTATGGCAAAAAGAATAGCCACTTACTGTGATGTACTTATTGTGAAGTAACCCTCTGTATTAAAATATGAATATTCAAACTTCGCTTCCAAAGATGAACAACTTTTGCATATAATTCTAGCACCAAAAGCTGCTTTTATTTTGTTACGAGACCAATTTAGAATTATTGACGTAGAATCTAATAGCTAGCTATTCTGTGAGAGGTTATTTTGAACTCTTTTTCTTCTGGTTTGACATTAAGGATCTTATCAGTTCATATCTTCTTACCCTATTCATACCAATGATTACACTACCAACACTCATGATCTAGTGGACAGCTCACAGATTCAGGAAATCTGTTTATCCTCAGGTTTGTGTACAGCCCACAAACCTCTCACAAGTCACTTTACTCTCTATCCCTCCGATTTTACCATCTTTAAAATGATGGTGAGCTTGCTATTTTCTCCCTCTGTACAGTGCTTTAGGATAGATAGATGAAACCCACAAGCAGATATATTATCCACTATTGCAAATAAGCCAGCCCCATAGCCAATGGAAGCAACTCCTAGACAAGATGCTAGAAGTGGTGCTAACGCTGAATTTGATTCTGAAGTATTAATACAGGGACAGAGTATTCACCAACCTAGTAAAATGCCAAACTCAACTTCTCCAACAACGTTACTGTTCCAGTAGCAGTCTTTGAAACAGAACTAACACCATAACTACAAATGAGATAATGCATTTTAAATTTCTTACATAGCATCATAGTTTTTTGAGTAAGAACAAGGATCAAAGATGAGTGATTTAATTTGAGCTAAAGAAACCTAGTAGATTTGCTTTGTAATAGTCTGTTGCCACTTAGACTACAAATCAACACACTAAGTTTTTCAAATTACAGCAGATTGCAAAAAGCCATGCTAACCTAACTAGGCCACAGCAGAACCCAGGAAACTACATGAAAAGAAGCTTATGAATTCATTAATTCTAACTGGCTAAATTAGTGGTCCAAGTGAAAGTTTGATGAGTGGCACAGGTTAGCAGACCCAAAAATACTGAGAACCATCATTGCACATTTAGCAGGTATTTAGTTCTCTTATACTTTTATTCCTTCTCGACTTTATGTGCAGAACAAATATAAATGTTTCCATCCTAAACAGAATACTAATCGTCTTCTAGAAATTAAGTGGCCTGGTACCACTTAACTAAAATAGCTCAGCATGCAAGATCTAACTGCCAGATTCACCCTAGGCTTCAAGCTCCATTCCAGTTCAAGTGATGAACTGGTATGATAACAGCCATTAATGCTAAAAATAAGGAATTTTCAACATTGTCTTTTTTTCTGAAACAATTACTATCCCATTGTTACTGATGTGAATAGGAAAGCTACACAGATGCAAATCTTTGAATAATTGCTAATGAAATAGATATTCAGCTTTACACAAACTAAACAACTGACACAGCTGGTAAGAAATATATCTCAGTTTTGATTTGTAAAATATTAACATATGAATTCCCATGCTTCAGCCTTCTCTTAGACTTCCAAATAAAAGGTTAGAGAAAGGAAATCATTTAAGATTAGGAAACAGAAGAGAGATTTGGGGTGGGGGAAGGGGAAGGGACAACCACCTGTCATTCACTTTTTCATTTTCAGCAGAGTTACTGGTCTTTCACTTCCACAAACAGTGACATAGGTCCAAAAATACATGGATACAAGGGTCAGAACATTAAACCATGAAACCAGGAACCAATTTTTCCATCACTGAACACAGCTTTTACAGTAACATTAGTTCAAATTAAGCTCCTGAAACGTCATTTATTTCTTTCAGTCAAGCCTCTTCATTTTCCACACTGAAGGCTTATTACAGCACTTTCCAGTATAACAGCAGTACCTCAATCATAATATGCTGAAGTTAATCACTGAAAAATATTAGATCTTTCATCAAAACAGGAACAGAGAAGTACTCTCTCAGTTACACCTTACGGTTGGACTCTAAGTCCAAATATACTAAACGGGAAACAAAAGTTTTTACATCGTAGCAGTCATGACTTTTTGCATGTTACATGTAGAGACAAATTAATTTGTGATCTGTACTGGAAACAACACTGTAATGCTGTACAGGCCATCTAGTTCTATAAAGTGGTTTTTGGAAAGATTTTTTTTTCTACAGGCAGCACATATTAGCAGATTATTCCCTTGATGACTACTGAGGCCTAAGATTTGCTATAGCCACTCTCTGTCCTTCATTGAGCTTAGGTGGTATAGAAAAGAAACCCTAATTTGGAAGCCAAGGTAACAAGGTAACCACTAGGCTTGTGTACTGACAGATGCAACAGTTTTAACCCACCACAATGGAATATATATGACAGAGCAACCCTGCAGGTCCTCAGCTGTCAATATAAACTTCAAATCTCCTTTCAAAGAAACACACTTGCTATGCCTAAACTAGGAAACCAGTAAACCAATGCTAATTGACTAAACGTGCCGCATACCGCACTCTCGTGTGAGGACCAAGTGGCATGGAAAGGCCTAAGCTCCGCCTTCCATCTGCCTACTGGGAACGCTCCAAAACTACAAGCAATCGTTTGAGATCATGTACTCAAAATGTACTAAAACGATGCTAGGAACCGTTCTAACAATTTAATAGTGGATACAACAGAGTCCTGGTAGCCATGAATGTTCTGTAGCACTGTTCAGTTTGCTAGCAGAGACCAAGCATCTTTGAACTTCTAGTTGATGGGATGTCCTGAAGTTTCTGTTCTGATTCAGAGCAAAACCCATACAATGTTTTCAAGGTTACAGGAAAACTGAAAGTTTCTGAAAAATATCAGGTTGAAAGCACAAACAACTGGCATAGTCAATATGAAATATGCTCCTTAGACACCTTTACTGGAAGAGGAAAGGGTATGTAGCAACTCTCAACTAGACAGGATCAAGAACAACACGAAACCACACCTTTAGGCAATCTAAACTCAGGTTGCTGCAGTTCTGCTTCTGATCTGTCCTCTGGAACTCATCCTGAAACATCTTCAGTCAGTTCAGAGAACTTACTCAGCTGAAAGCTAACAAGAAAAGAAATAAAGAAATTAATTATCAGTCAGGTCGGCTCCCTGACCTGCCTCACCATGAAACTACATGAACACGAAAAGCAGCACAAGAACGAACTACATTAGTACAGTTTTTGACCCACTTAAGTTGTCATGGGACTGTACCTCACAGGGCTGAGAATAACTCCACACAAAATTGGGCTTTAGCATCTTCCTTTCTTCCTAATCACTGCAATTTGAGACACCCCTCAAAATCCTCTTTGAAAGATGATTCTCTTATCTGATATTGATACGCATATTGCAGTGATTGTCATCTTACTTGTACTTCCTCAGCACTACAAAACCTTGCCAACAAGACCCTTTAGTGTTGAAGGTCTGACACAGTTCTACTGCAACTGTACCTGTTAGAACTACTAGTTCTAAATCAATCGCTTCTATTCAGAATACCCACTGAATAAGTAATTTCTTATGAACTGTCTTGAACCCTGAAGACAGGCACCTGCCAGTTTGCAACCATTCACAGCATAAACTGCAATCCACTAACAAACAGTCTTGGGAACTCTCGAGTGGAAAAATTTCCTAGTAGGCAACTATTCTTAAAGTACTCAAACTAAGAAGAAATAGAGACAAAATATCAGGTTGTCAACACACTGATCGTTCAAAACAAGGACACTTCTGGGACACAGCAGAAAATAGACCAAAACGCGAGCAGTTAAGCAACAAAAGGGACTGGAAGTTTTCCAGTTACACACCCATCCGGCAGGGTTTGCAACAGAAGCTCTTACTTCAGTTTTAGTCCATTCTCCTAGTGCTATTATTGCATTTTGGCCCTCTTGCATCAGCTGGAAATGGAATCTCATGGGTTCTGATAATAGGGACTCCTGTCAACAATTCTGTTTGTTTGTTTCTTTTGTAGAACGTTTTTATAATGCATGCTTTTAATAATTTCTCCCTTTTCTTCAAAAACGTGAAATGCTCCCAGGCCTGTTGAGATACTTAAACCAAGCTAAAACTGCTTCACATTTAACAACCTACAAGAATTTCTGTTGTTATTAAGTCTCAGAGAAATTGGTGCAGAGTAAAGCTTCAATACAAGCTCTTTGAGCAGCAGCTAAATCCAGCTTACATGGCACTGACAACTTACCTGCCAAAAGAGAAGACTGCCATACACCCCGGGACAGGTCCTGCAAAAGCTTATTATCACAGGGTCGGGCTGCATCACGCAGTCTGGACCCTGGATAGTGCTGCCCATGTCAGGTCTAGGCTGGGAGAAGGGTAGACCAGCACCCAGGTTGCATCACTCATCACCAGCTCCTACCCATGCCAAAGGACTACCTGCCTACGCTGAAAGGTTCAGGAAGGACTCTTTCTTCAGTTATAGACCTGGACACAGCAATGCCATGTGAAGTCCAGACTTCACCACTGCCGACGGCTTTCTGCGGCTGTAGTAAGTCAGGCTATTGCCTGCTGCCCTTGGTCTATGAGACTGGGTGGCATGGGGAAAAGCGGACAGTCCTCTGCTCCCTCTGGTCTAGGGGCAGAGAGGAACATCCTCCCTTGCGAGCAGACCAGAAGCACCCAGTGCTGCAATATCCCAGCACTTCCTCGCATGTAACAGCATTGGCCATGTACTCGTGCACTCAAGAAAGACGTAATGCCTGAAAAGCCTGCCTTTTCTCCCCTCCTCCCTTTAGAGCTGCAGCACTAAGGAACACGCTCTTTTCCCTTCTATACACACGCAAGAAGTCCCTAAAAATATTCCTGCTTTGTACAGCAGGTACAGCAATGCTGTAATTATACAGGATATTTCCGAAGTGCCATTTTTCTCTAGTCTGCCCTGCAATCTTTCATATGCTTCATATGCACAACGCTCACTATGCCCACAGCTGTTATTCCTAGTTAATAAATCACGAAAATCTCCAACTTCAGTGACAACCCTAAAAGACTCAAAAGGAGTAAAATAAGCTCAAACAGAAACATAATGAAACAAGAACCACTAAGCTTTTGAGCTACACAATTTCAAAAAAGAAAAATATGAAGTTCTGTTCCACCGCTAATGAACATACACTCATAAAGAGTGGTTGTGGAAGACAGCATGGCACGACTTTTGACTGTCAGACAGTCTTGAAACATAATAATATACATATATGGAATGAATTAATCAGGGAAGTTTAACTCCCGAAAGAAGTTTTATCATCATAAGCCAAAAAAGTTTTTGTAGCAGTTTGCATGATTTTGCAAGTTATTGAAAATATTTGCAAGAGACTACATGTCGCAGGTCTCCAAGTATCGAACTAAGTATATTTATTATTGTAGGAAGTACCAGTGGAGTCCAGCTCTACAGAAAGCAAAAAAATGAAAGTGACATCAAGGAAACAGATTATACAACTGAATACTATTTTAGTTTATTTGCACAGGTAACAGCCACTCAACTTGAACATGATCAATTTAGTGTTACTGATTCTTTTGCAATTGCATGTGACAGGGATGCTGATGGTGTTTGGACCCGACCAAATTCCGCTCCTAAGGAGTCTGAGAAGGATTCCCAGCTCTTCATACCAACTACCTGGCAAAAACTCTTCACTTCCAACAGTGACTTGGAAGACAAGGTTGTGTTCAGGAAGCAAACAGCTTCTGCCCATCTCCCCTGATGCGACATGTCACTTACAACAATTACGTGGGCTGCAAGGAGCGAGCGAAGGAAGGATGCTGCACATACCAAAAACCTGGCTTTCCCAGCATGCCACGTTATAGCCAGCATGTGAGAGCAGAATGAACAGTCAGCACGCATACATCCAGACTGAAACCAATGCATTTTCACATGAATGATCTGGAAAGCTCATGCTGGAAGTCTGAGAAGCCCTACCTTAGAGACTGCATTGAAAGGCAGTAATAAACCAATGAGACATGAAATTAAGCCATACCTCTAGCACCAGCATGTTTCTCCTCACAGATATTTTCCTGAAGAGAAAGGACAGTACCATCATGCTTTTAAAAGCGTGTGCATCTGTAAAAATCATCTTGAAGGTGGAGCAAAGAAAGTAGGAACTTTAATCTGTAAGTGCGCCCCTACAGTGGAGTTAAATGAGGCACTTGGCTACTGCATCTACGTAACTGGATAAATTTATCCCAGGCATGCAGGGCCACACTTTAGGATCATAAATGAATTATTATAGTCTCACGAGTGTTTTCTTTCCTTTTGGTACATCACTGAATTTTTTTTGTCCATGTCAGGGCTTTGTGACAGTTGGGTAACTCCTGCAAATTGCTGAACTCACTTCTCCTGTTGAAACAAAGAGAAGTCATAGGAAGGTGCTTGAGGACTTTAAACTCTCGACAATTATTTAACCTGCATTTTCACACTACAGGTTTCAGTTTATAGTCCCTGGTGAACCAGAAAGTATGCATCAAAAGCACCATTATATCTGTATCAGACACTTATTGTGAAAAGGGGAAGAAGATGAGACAAAAATCTCTCTATGCGCTGTGGATAACTCCTCTGTGAAGACATCACTGAAAAGCTGTCTTCACCACTGGAAGCGACAGCTGCTTACTTACCAAAGCATGCTCTCTGCAAGAGACATCCACTGATGCCAGCAGCAACAAAGTCCCAGAGCACCTCATTCACTTCACTATAATAAAGTGAGAAATGCAGAGCCAGATTTTCACAAGGGTATGTAGTTGCTAAATCAAAATAAATGTTTCTGGTGGGATTTGCAGGAGCGCTGATTCCCACTGATTTCAAACAAGACAAGTTTGTGGGAAACCTTTAAGATCCATTCAGCATCTAGCGGCATCTAAACACACCTTAAAGATTATTCATAACAGTGGACACAATTTAGAACAGAACTGAACTCCGGCATGCCACTGTTACTAGCCCTCTCAGCAGTTCTCCATGATCGACAGAAGGATTATATTTGCTCCAGTCAAGAAACAAATTTAGTTCTCAAAGGGAAAAAGTAACATAGAATAAAAATAAGCAACCTGCGCTTGTATTACGTCAAGCTCAGTCCGAGGGTTCATTTGCTCTCAGAATATAAACAATTACAGAATTCATACAGATATTTACCTATCAATAATTACCAGAAAATTCCCCAACTGTCAAAATAGATGCTACTGTCATCTATCACACACGCTCTCCTGCAAAAGACAACTTCATTCAGTGCTTCTTACATCTACCTCCTTCAAGCAAACGTATTTCTGAATATATTGGTGCACCTGATTATAATTCTTCAGACACGCCATACAAATTTAGGGGCAGGAAACCACTGAAAACAGTAGATGTTCTGGGGGAATCTGAAGCAGGGAGCCTGTTACGAAAGAAGAGGATCCCAGCAAGAACTTCCTTTTTATTAACCACACACGTGCAAAACCCACATTGATGTTGAGCCGCAGAGTTTTTTAGTGACAATTTAAAAATATAACAACTTGCAGGTGACCTATGCATTGGAAGGAAAAAAAAAAAAAAAAGCACAACTGTTCCAAAGGGCTAGAGACAAAAGGATTAACTTTTAAATGAGCTATAGAATACTCCTAAAAGTGAGCTCTTCTCTACTGAGAGACAAAAGAAAACAACTTGGCATAAAACTGAAACTTTCACTTGCTTAACTTTATTTTGTTTAAGAGCATAACAGACTGGAAAATTCACTGCAGAGGATAATGGTGCTAAATGACACGTTAGGCTTTTTCCATTTCTTACTTGATCCTTTAGGCATTTATAACACAATTTGTTTCACTCTGCTGTCACTTGTTACATACATGCAGCCTTCTGTATTGTGCTTTTTTACTTTAGAAAGTGACTAAAAAGAGAAGTAAACTTCTTAGCACGGCTGCGGTAAATTCAGGAGTCATTTCTGTATGACACATCCTGTTCAGAGCTACAGAAATGCAAACTGCAGAAAATCAAGCAGTCAAAGGCTTCCTTCTGTGTTACTCTCAAAAAGCATTTACCTACCTTCAGCCAACCTTTCTTTTTTCCCACTGGAGAAAATACTTGCCTGTTGTCCTCTCACAGAGCTGTCTCATAATGTGTTTTACATCTCTACCAAATTTAAGAGAGCACAATAATTTCATGAACTGCATTTCTTCCGCTGCTTTCACGTGCAGTGCATAGTATTTTATTACACTCTTGCACTTATCCAAGCATCTCACTGATACCACTAGGAGATTTAGTAAATAAGCACTGCAAGAGCATACCCATATTATTTGCATTAGAGCACCAATTGGAGATTCACACCAGCACCAGGGCTTCTGTGGCCAGGGCACCCCTGCTAGAGGCTCCGCAAGCCTCTGGGCCTGGGAAGAGCCAGGAGGAAGCTCGTGCTGAGCGACAGAGCTACAAAATGCTAGGAGAGGCCCGTCGCAAAGTCTGAAAGAGCACCCAGGTCTCCTAGGCAACGTTATCTTCATACTTCGACTGTGCTCCTCCTAGCTCACAGATAAACTAATGGGATACTAGTTTTCCACTCCCCTATTGACAGGTAGTCTAACGGAAGTTATGCATACGGTATCAATATTGGAATCTGCTTATAAAGTTTACAGCTAGGCCAGCAATGGAAATATTAATCTGTGAATATGCTGTTTCAAATCCTATGATTTCCGCACAGTGTAACAGAAGTTCTCTGATAGCACTAGCCACGAACAGACAAAAACCTTATGGCAGCTTTTTTTTCCACATTCATCTTTACCTGATTAGTTTTACATGTAGACAGCATTCAGCTGCTCCATAACAAAACAATGTTTTATGCTGAAGATATTCCATGCATTTGTTTTCAGTTTCTAACGCTGCCTCCTAGCAGGGTCTGGCGCTCAACAGCCAAATTTCAAGGGGGCTTCATAACCCACCCTTTTCTGAACCCCATGTAATGGTAACAACATATGCTATGCACTCAGACACAAAGCTTCTGTACCATAATACCTAACACCCCTTACTTATACATCTTCGAGTCTGGCTGTATCATCAACTCCATTCTGTGCACCATCTGCACTAAGTTACTTGGTATTTCTTGCTCCAACTCATCACTCACAACACAGCGCTTAAAAAAAAAATAATAATAATCAAACCTCTTTCAACATGAATTCCACTGACACTGCTACTGGATTTACTTGTTTGGTCTTTTTTAAAGTAGTTGCCCCTGACTCTGAAATTGGACAAGAATAATGCATCAGGATAATTTCTCCTGCTATGTAGTACTAACTACTATTTCATACAGTGACTCTCTAGGCATGACACTACAGAAAGAGTAGTTATTTAGCAGCAGATGCGGTGGGGGGAGAAGCGTCCAAATAGTAAAAAATGCGATGGACGCAAGTGCTGCGTATTCACAGAAGAATGTGCAGCATCTCAAGTGTCTGACGAAACTCTGCTAGTGAAATTAAACAAAAAAAAAAAATCAGGAAGTACAGAGAATAAATTAGTGAAGAAACTAATTGTTTTGAAAGAGAGGC